AATGCATTTGTAGACAGCCTGTAGAGATGGTTGTTTGGGGAGATGGGAAACAATCACCCACCTAAAAGCAGAGCTGTTTCATTAAATGGATTGATTGTCTCTAACTTCCAGACCAGCGCTGTCTAATAAAATGGGAGCCACATGGGTAATTTAAAATATTTCTGGCATTCCTACTTAAAAAATAAAGAGAAATTGTTGAATTAGCATATGCTTTGTTATGTGTCTTTTCACCATGATAAAATTAATTAAGTAAAAAGTAGTAGGTGACATTAATTTTAATGCATTTCATTTAACCCCCATATAACCAACATAGTTTTTGAACATGTTGACTATATAAAAATTATCAATGAGGTGTTCTGAATTTCTTTCCTCTTACTAAATCTTCAAAAATCCAAAGAGTATTTTACATGTACAACACATCTCAATTCAGACCAGCCAGAGTTCAAATGAGCCATTGTCATTTTGGACTACCATACTGAACAGTTCCGTCTAGTTCATTGCCACAGCACCATCACCCTTCTCTGAGACAGGTAGACCGATATACCCAGAAAACAGATAGAAGTTGCATTTTGAAATCAGCCTGGCATATTTCCAGTGCCAGTCCTTCATCCACCCAAGGGATTCAATTATCCTAGCATTTTTTAGCATCTACTATCAGCTAGCCTTCTTCTCAGGCCTTACTCGAGTTTTACGAGGTGAGATAGCAATGGACTGCTGAACACAAGGTCAGTGGTTCAAACCCACCAGCTGCTCCTCAGGAGGAAGATGACACTATTTGCTCCTGTAAAGATTTCCAGTCTCACAAACCATATATAAGGGTCCTGTTCATTGGAATCAACTCAGTGGTGATGGGTTTTGTTTTGTGTTTGAGTCAAGAGATCAAAGAAGTGTACCTGAATAACATTTATTTTTATCTCATCTGACTAAAATCTGACACCTTGTACCAGTAGGCTATAGCTGTAGTCAAGGTTAACACATAAAGCCATAGCTGGCATACTGCCCTGAGTCAAAAGTAAAGATCAAATGAATGAGTTTCCCCCACCTTACTTGCAGCAGCAGGTAAAACTGCTTGTGGTTTCAGACAAAGAATTGCTAATTTCAAGAAAGAGAAGACCAGTTTTTCAGGGTGCCAATAATTAAACAGCCCTTCTCTTTCATGTCAACTTCAGCTCAAACTGCTATCTGAGCAGGAACTTGGTTTCCCGAAAAGATCACTCCATTGAGATCAAAGGAAAAGACGAGTTCCATTAGCCAAGTTGACTATACCTCAGCCTTCAAAATAAAGGGAGAGTGTATTTTAGAAGGATCTGAGTAACACACTTTACTCATAACATTTTGTATTATATTGCTTGTTGTCTGTTTCAACTTACCTTCTATCTGGGTACTTTATTTTAAGCACTACCAAAGTGGATGACATGTCTAGTGGAAGACTCAGAGTAGCCCGCTTCTTCCTGCAAATGCATCTTCAAATAATGCTTTTATGCTGAAAATTAGGATGTAAACCCACATGAGAACACATTCAAGGATGGGATATCCAAATTGCAGTGCCTTGAATGTCAGGAAGAGAGAATCTCTCCGATTCCCCCATTCAGAACTCGCTCAGTCTGTAGGTCAAAGGCTTCTTCGTGTCTCTCTTGAAGTTTGGTATGCACTCGTCTGTATACCAATTCAGAAGGTGCTTCATAAAATACTCGAAAGCAAGAAGGAATTGAAACAGGGAATTAAAGTTTTAAATATGTGAGATCACATGACACTTCCTAATCCTCTAAAAGACATATGCTAGAATGAGAATGAGTTTTTTAACCTGACTATTATATAAGATTCTACCATCCTCCACATAAGGTTCTGAGGGTAACCGAATATTACCAGGAAAAGCAAAAAGATTAAGCTGACAAAAATGCCTTTTAAGTGGCTTTCCCCTTCCATTTAAAACCATCCAAAATCTAAGATCAGATTTGAAATGTAGCACCCACTGACACAATGTACTTCAAACAATAATGCCAAATTAGTATGCACAGCTTTCAAAATAAAGGGGCATGAACTCATGTTGTGAGTTTCTGGTGCTACAGATTTTAAGTCCCTTTCAAACTACATTATGAAATACAGACATG